CAGTGTTCGTGTGACGGGCGGGGCGGCCCCTGGCGTGCATACCGGCAATCTGTGGTGCTGCGTTTATACTTTATTGAGACACGTAGACGCAGCGTGGCATATAGGCGCATGCCGCACAGGCTGTCGGCCGCGTCGCTGTTAAGAGCACGTCACACCGGTAACATCTCTCTCTATTGCACCATCGTAACTTCCATCCCTATATAATATTATTATATATTTATACTATAAATTATAATCTTTGTAATCTTACTAGAAATGTTTAAGCATAGGCACAATCAGACATATTGGGGTGCTAAAATCATACAAAGTATWACTTTACTTCCTTGTACACAATCATTTTAATAATGTTAATAAATTATTACTGAAATAAAAATTTATAATGCGTAACCTATTAAATCGTTCTTGTATCATGTATTTATGTTAGTCCGTACACGAATCTAATTATTGTTAGTGTTGTCATAGAAATTAACCAGTACATATTAATTAATTTTGGACCGTGGAGGGGGGGGGCTAACAAAAGTTAAGCATCCCTTAGTAATCATCTAGTTGCACCGACGCATGCGTATAAGTGGTACCAATGGCGTAATCAAGGGGAATAGATCCGTCCAAAACWTTTATTTTATTACTGCTAACAGAGCTAACATTTYATACTTGGTGGGGTAGGGATAAGTTACTGTATGAGGCTTACAGATTTTGATAAAAACATGTAATCCTCCCCCCTCCCAACCAAATTCTTATTTACACCACTAAGTGTCAWGTAGTACCTTTGTATTCAAAAACGAGGTTGTGGTTTTTCGACAAGACGTGTAGGTACATGAACGTTTGTATATCATCCAATATRGAAATATAGCTAGTTAATAGTTATTATCAATTGTTTAATTAATAAAGGAATTTATCCCCGATACAGATGTTGTTTTACCGTTGTTTATATTTTTTAAGTTTCTTTTTTAGTATAGTGTTTTGAATGAAARGATAYGATTTTAATCTTATACTCCTAAACAGAATATTATATTTTGTAATCAGTCAGCAATAAGGTCTACCTATCAACGTTAAATTTAATTTGTAAAATCGTGATTGATTGCCAGTAATATTAGCAAAGAATCCAGTGTTTATTACGGTGTAAAGAAGAACACATATTTTTTCGTTTAAGTGCAGAAAATAAATTAACTGCTATGATTAGAAAATTGGTACATGGTATTTTTTTTTTTATATAGAGTAATAAGGGGCTGGTGCCGAATACCGAAAGCATATTTGCATAATCAGGATCTGATTCAGATATTCAGTCTCTGAGTGAGCAATGGCAAATATTTCATGTTTGATTTTTTTTAGTGGGGGCTTGAGCATCAAAGCTGCACTACTCAATAGATACGTTGTTGCCAGGTCTCGAATTTAAATTCCATAATAAAGTAATAACTATTAGCTATCAAAAGATATTCTAGGAAATAGGCAATCCTTRTTGTTTCATGTATACCTATAAACAATTTAATAGGGACATATTTTATATTTCAGAAAGTTTTATAATTCTAAGTTAAAGAAATAGGTAATGACAAAAAATTAAACATGATTCATGGGCGATGGTTTTTGTCAGTGTAATATTGTAATAGGTATTCACTGCAAACTATCAATCACATTTAAATATTTTAAATATTTAACCAAGTGTAAGTTGAACTATGTTAAATTCTACGATCAACTATTTTATACAWGTAAAATTATAAGCATAGCATTAAACCTAAGAACATTTCTTGAGATACTATTTGAAAATAGTWAGATCTGCAAATTAAGCAATTACTTTTAAATTGGAATATATACTGTTTAACTCCCCATGTTGGCTAAACTGTTGTCCGACCGTTGACGACCTCCGTCTACCGACAGGCTAGCCTTTAGTTTTAGTTTTGTGCAATCGTGCCAAACTCGGTCTTTGCTAATCGTTAGAAAACGATTTTGTTGTTAAGCTAATTGATAATTTTACGTTTTCTACGCTCAAGTCGTTAATAAACTGTTATGTTGTATTAAATCGTTATTAGTTATTGTCTAACTGTCTAAGTCTTCTTTTAAGTAGACGTTAGCAATACTATATACGTATACAAAAAATAAATGCACTTTGTATTGAAATCCGATCAATAGTAATAAATAATTAAATACCTATTATTGCTATGTATAGTTAAATATTGATTTTTAGACTGGGTCTGCTTCTGTGTATAGTTAATAATTGTTTATGATAATATCAGCAACCTGTACTCTGTAGTGACAGTTTTAGCTCTCTAATCACTTTCCAATAGTTTATGACAGATCTCTTCGAAAATATCGTAAGTCTTATTAGTATGCCATTGCCATAATCTTCGAGGGAGAGACAGAGATTACAAGCCTTATTAGTGTAGAATTCATTCATTAATCCCAGTATATATGACTGCAATATCCCATTGTTTTCTTTTTTCCAYATTATGAGAGTGAGCTTTTCTTCATCAAAATTCCTTGAACCTTCAMGAAAAACCCAGACGTTACGTCATACCGAATCTATCACAWAATTACATTAAAATTTTWTAATATAAATAAATTCATATTTGCCGGTGGCTTTAACCACCATCGTGTTGTAAACATGTTATTATATTATGCTCTAAATTGATCCGATGTGTTACCTAGTTAGCAAAACCATATATGAAATATATATGAAACACCAGACCTCCATATAAAATATGTAGTGAATTAGTATTTATTACACATTTTAAATTTCTCTACTGTGTAACGCTGCATACAATAGGTATACCTTACCTACGTTCCCGAACCCAATGACTTTTCAAAAGTTATCTGTAGGTCAACGCAGCCTAAACAAGGATAATGAGTTCAAAATTAAATTCTTATTTCATATTGAATACTAAAAAAGTGTTGACGCGTGGAAGCTATTATTTCGTCAGTGGCGATTAATCACTGTTGATGTTTCTAAAGGTTACGTTTTCTTCAATCGATATAATATTGAAATTAATTTTCTGTGAAATAAACGAAATTATGTTGACTGTTTTCCTATTTAATATTGAGTATTAACAACTTACTTAAATACAATAAATATTGTCTGTATTGATGTTCGTTCATTGTATCTAATCAACTAATATATGACTCAATAATATATTCTTTATTAAGTATTCAATATTTGTACAAATTCAATAAATACCTACGTTGTATAATTTTATGAAATAATTAAATTGTATAGATTGGTATTAGTTATAGATTCTGCCTACTGTAGCTCTAACGACCGATTTTCAATTTGTATCTTTTAATTTATTATATCTACTTGAAAGTAAGCAATCGTTTTTAAACTTGTTATAATAAATTGATTTAACTACCATAGTCTTCCTTGTTACTGCAGATACAGCTTATTATTATTCTACATCGGAAAACTATATATTTTATTGTTTATATATTATTATCCTGGACAATATTTTAGACCAATAACAGATATAATATATCATTATTTAGCTGACAATATATATAATAATCATTGTCAAAATAAAATAATATTTTTATCTTAAATTCATTCTTCGCCTTAAATCGTATTTTTATAATATAACAATTATTACGTGATTACGTGACTATTGATTTGGTTTAGCCATTTGAATGATTACGATTTATTACTTATATAAATGTTAAAATACTAAAACTCATTGTAAATAAAACAGTGTTTCTTATCTATAACTTATGTAATTGAGCCGTCATTGTCGTTACTATTATACATATTTCATATTTACATATAGCATAATATTCTACTAATACCATGACATTAAAAAAATCGGAGAATTCAGTTGCATTGAAAATGTGTAAATTATATCAAATGTTCATAAGCTCTAATGTCCGTTTAAAACTGATTAACGATTATATTACGTAACATTGGTGCTTTATTACAATGTACACTGAACTCAATTACGAATTTTTCTACACTTTCATTAGTATATATGCAATGCGGAATAAAATTGAAGTGGCCCAGAAAAAAGAATATTTTGGGTTTCTTGATTTGCCTAAAATAAAAATTGCACGCTTATAATGTGTAGAATATATTTTTAATTTTAATTGTAAATAAGTATTTATGTTACATGTCACATGATTTTATTAATTTATACAGTAATGTATTACCTATAAATGTAGTTAAATTTATTATACCTAATTTATAAATTATATTACGTATAAAATAATCTATAGCTARAATATGTTACGTCAAAAACGAATATAAATATTTTGTATCAAAATTTACAAATTAGGTACTTTCCTTGATTTTTTTTCTGCATAGTCATCTAACTAACATAAAATGACTAACTGTAAAAATACACCACTTTAAACGCTCATAAAAATGAGAATAAATTTAAACAATCGTTATGGATTGTAGTTCACTATGTATATAATTTTGAGTGTTGAAAATGTGCATTTATGTCACTGCATTAATGTAAAAACGTATAGACAGTATTTCAAATTCCTAAAATAACATTTTTATTTTTAAATATTACCTTTATTTCTTTTCTTAAGTAATATAGATTGGAAACTCATATTAAAATTATAATATTGGGCATAGCTGTCCTAAAATATTCTGGGCCGCGCCTATCAAATCTGGTTCAGTCTTACATTATCAGTTAATGTATAAGATATAATAAATATGCATAATGCTATAAATTTTAATCCTATTTTCCGATTTTTGAACCCTTATTAGACTTTATGCCTTTACGTATATTATAATATTTTGTATAGGTAGTAATATTATTGAGAGTAAAATTATTCGTTTGCGCACTAATAATAATAGAAT